CTCTACACGCATGCCAGCATGAGGGAAATAAAAGCAGAAATCAGGGCAAATAGGGAGTGGGGAAAAAAAAAAATCATTCAACTGAGCTGGGAGCACTAACGTCGAGCAAATCCAATATCTCTCTTATCTCTCAATCCCCTCCCACTCAACCACAACTCCCGCTCGGGGTGATTTGAACATGAGAGGAAAGCAAGTGTGCCCCCTGCTCTTTTGTCGTGATGTAAGCAGGAAGCATATGGATTGCATGGCTGAATTTCTGCATGGCATGAAAGGCCAAACTGCTGTTCTGGATGAAGAAGCTCCATCCAGTCCCGGGTAAGGTTGTGACTGCGTCCTCCTCTGAGCTCTGAGATTGGGATGGGATTAAGTAATGACACTCTGGAGAGGAGAATTGTCTGGCTGCATGTTTTTCTCCATAATTTCAATAGGTTATGGGGTTTTTTTTAAAACACATTTTGTTTAATTAAGTTTTGCTCTTTTCAAGTAGAGTTGGAATCAATTGTTTGAATAAAAAGGCAACCCTTGTCACTCTGTATTTCCTCTCATATGTCAGTTTTTTTTCCACACTACCTTCAGTCCATTTCATACAATTCCTTACATTTGACTTTAAAACTGTATGAAATAGGTCATATCTTTAACCATTATTCAGCATACTCCTCACAATAATTGCTTGAATTTTGGCCCATTCCTCCTTCACAGAACTGCCGTACCCGAGTCAGATTTGTAGACAACCTCACAATAGAGCACACTTTTCCAGGTCTGCCAAAAAATTATCTGTGGAACTGAAATTATGAATTTGTAATGGTGACTTCAAAACTTTTGCTTTGTTTCATTAAAGCCTCTTTGATCCTAATTTGTCGCTATGCTTTGGCGCTTTGATCATTTGAAACATCCATTTGGGTCAAACTTAAACTTCCTGTGATTTATTGAGATCTTGTCTCTTTTGTTTCCTCATTCTGTTATTTCCTTGTGATGGCAGCTATTTCTCATGGCTCAAAACACCCCACAACTTCACAGTTGCGATGGTATTTTCAGGGCAAGGATGCAAGATGGTAATTTCCTCATCCCACAAGATATTTCTCTATTTCTCATTTTTTGTTTCAAAGTTTTGAATCCGAAAACAATCCGAAAACATAGCAACATTTTTGGAATGACCTCATCCTCTCTGGCTCTTCACATCCCTGACAGCAGCCAGCTGACTATTGCCTCTACACTTTGATTGCTCCAAGACAAGCCACTGAGGCATAGGGTCAAGTCCCAGCAGTTTTAGAGGAGATGTGACCAGAAAACCAGATCGTGCTCCGTGTACATTTGCCCCTGCGCATACACATTACCTTGGAAATCAATAGGAAACTGTTATCAAGACCATCATGGGCTCAGCAGAGTCTGAGAGGTCATAATAAGGCTAGCTGCATGTGATTAAACCTTGTAAATCAATAAGTGCATCAACTTTTGGAGTGATTTTGCCCTGTTGGCAATAAATGTGTGTATGTGTGAGTCCGTTCCCTAGGTTGTTAGGTTTCTACTCACTTTTCAGAGATTAGACACTTTGATTGTGCCCGATTCGCTTCCAGTTTGAACTGATGATTACTTGGTGAGGGACCATAAAGCCCCCATCCCCCATTTGCTTCTGTGTCATCATTTTTGCTGGCAAGGAAAGACTTTGCGCTGCATTTCACTCTCAAGTAAATCACGATTGATCGGCTTTTAGGGCAATTCATGAATGTAAAACTGTAAATATCAGTTAGGTCACTGCCAAAATCTGAACAGCTATCTGCAGTGCTTATATCCACTCGTCATTGGTAATGTGCAGCTGTCTACTTGGAGACTCCAAACAGCAAAGTTTTATGGTCAAAGAGGTAAACAGTGAACTGTTTGCTCGCAATCATTAAATTATGTTTGTCATGTTCATCACATATATACAGATGATTAATCTACATAAATTTTAAGAAGATGGCTTGATGCTTCTTTGCAGATGAGATAAAGTAATTTTCAGTTTTGCAGCTTGTTACTGTGAAAAGGGCCACAACTGTTTGTGGCTGTAGGATACTTTCAGGTCTGTCTGTAATTTCAGTCCCAAATGTTCTCTCCCTCCACCATAATGTCCCTGTCAGATAGGATTAGGGTCTTTCCCAGCGCCACGGTATGTAAGCAAGGAGAGAGTGATACATTTATGCAACACTTAGCATATTAGTCGAGTGATTGAATTATCCTTGGAGAGGGACACGTACTTCCAAGAACCCCCTTCCTGCACTGAGCTCATGTGACCGGTGGGCCTGACCTCATTGCGACGTGGCAGGCCGAGTGGCGCGGGTTAGTCACCGGCGCATCTCCTAACAGGCAGCGTTGATATCGTTTAGAGCCATGCCGGTCTCAGGGATGGAGGCGGAGGGAGGAAAGGCTGGCGAGAGTGATTGCCTGCTGGGTCACAGAGGGTTGCAAAACTCATTTTCTCAGCTCCCACCACTTCACAGTGCATGGTGGGAGATTATCAGATAAACTCAGGGCACCTTGAAGGCCTCTGTTTTTGCCACATTATTGCTGGTTAAATTCTACATGGACATAGAATAAGTTCTTGTCTCCAGGTCATGTTGACACAAGGTTATTGTGCTGGACTGATTCTGTTACGCAGGAGGGATAGTTATTGTTCTTGTTGACTTCTAAATATTTCATAGTTTGATGCAACGGTGATTGCAGACAGAAGTGATTTAAAGTTAGATACTTCTGATGGCCTTTTGATGTTGACTTCAGTAAAGTCTGATGCATTTCCCAGGAACATCAGGAGTCACAAAAGTGAACTAAAACATCATAAACTTGAATCAAAGGCCGTATTTTCCTCACTATAAGGCGCACCGGATTATAATGCGCACCTTCAATGAATGGCCTATTTTAAAACTTTTTTCATATATAAGGCGCATAGAATAGACACTACAGTAGAGGCTGGAGTTACGCTATGCATTCACTAGATGGAGCTGCACTAAAGTGAATATCAACAAAACAGTCCGACTCCGGTCGGCCAGGAGAGCCTTCCGCGACTGGGCCGGGGCGTGGCCGGACGATGGTCACCCTTCTCCGTTCGCGCACAGCATGTTGGTGGAGAACGTGGTGCTAAATGACCTGCAGACGACCTGACTCTAGACGGTCGGTAGGTAGATTGGTCAAACTTTATTAACAAACCAGCGTTCTGACAACTATCCCAGCATGCACCGCGCGCTTCTTCTTCTACGGGCGAAAATGAAGTCGGCGGCTGTTTACCGTAGTTTCTAGACCTGTTATGGTTCAATATTGGTTCATTTATAAGGCGCACCGGATTATAAACTGGTAAATTGAAGGTTTTTAGGTGCGTCTTATAGTGCGGGAAATACGGTGCTAGTACAATACATTACATTACTTCTAGTCTACTGACTGGAAGTAAGCTATACTAGTGGAAACATGCGAAAAACTGGTCAGCATGGCTTTGACAGCTGTAATGTACACAGAGTCTTCCATGGATTATTTTGCAGGGTGTATATCATTTTTAATACTCCATCTTTAATAAGATTTGACGGTACTTCTGAGATCTTCTGTGAGGTGCAAGCAATTTTAAAGAAGGGCTTCGGACCTCTGAGCAACAGTTCTTTTCTTTTTTCCATTGTCCAGGTAAGATCATTGTCTCTGGTTCAGGAGGGGCTTAAGGAATGCAACAGTCGTATCCCATGACATGAATACATCTGTTTGTGTTGGCTGTTGAAGCACTGATGTCAGCTGCAATGCACATCTTATGGGTCTCCCTCAAACTCTCGGAATTTGAGTTCTGCTTCAAAAACCTCTCGAAGCTGCAGTTGTCCATGTTGTCAGTGAACACTTTTTCTCACCATCAGTATGACTGGAGACAGCACTGAGCTGCCGGACTCTTTTGCAATAACCTTTTGTTGCTAATTCTTATTTATTGAGATGCAGCTGTCAGTGACGAGCAAATACTGTTATTCATCTGTGTGGTTTGTTTTTTCTTCCCAACACTGAAGCTCATAACTTTATTGTCTGGACAGTATTTACTAGCCCCTTTAAGTTTATAGCTAAAATATTCAGAGAAAGCATAAACTGAAATCAAGAGAAAATGTTTCATAAGTATTGCTAAATCTGTTAAAGAAGGGATTTTTCCAGCCAATAGTCTGCAGAGGACATCTGCCTGCATCGCTGGCTGGGACGTCCTCTACAGTATGATCTGCATAAGACAGCATTAATATTTACATAGGACTAAAGCATGAGTAATTATCTCCCTGTACAGCTGCAAAGCTTTGGAAATGTGTTGTAATGTAATTGAATTAGTTCCCTCCATTTAAAAAGAAAATAAAGCTGAACACACAGCAAACCTGAGTTAGCTGCTCAGCATGCTCATCCACAGATTAACTGGCTACCTCACCGCAATCAAGGGCAACACGAGCTACTAATTAGGATAGGATATGAAAGGCTTAAAGAGGAGTTTAAAGATATCCTTATATAGTATGATTGTATTTGTATAAGCACATGTGTGTGTGACTGAGTGTGAGCTTGTGTGTTGCCTCCTTAATGCACCGAAAGCCTGTGGGCACCGGCCAGCCCGGCCGCGTGTTCGTCTGCAAAAGGGCAGGGAGAACGAATAAGCCCTAATTGACCAGATATCCTTCATTAAACATGTGCTCACAAATCCATCCACTCTCCCTGGAGCTGTTTTCACTCTACAAAGCTTGTGACAGCCTTTAAGGCAATGGGAATGTAGGACATTCACATGTCTCACATGCAAGACGTCCACAGGACAGAGGAGCAGAGGAGCCATTTGAATTAACTCCATGTGGTGGAGATTTTATTTGAATACACCTGAGCAGAAAACTGAGAATAAAGGGGAGTGGAAACATGTTTTGAGCCATACAGGTTGGAGATATTTGCTTATATTCAAAGGACAAGATTACAGTTATTTGATGGTGTGCTACCTGCACACAGCTGAGTAGTTTCTTCACTACTTATTGCTTCTTTCTCTTCAGGGACATACTGAAGCAGGCAGGCTGCCTCTCTCTTGGACCTGAGGATGTTCCGCAAGAAGAAAAAGAAGAGGCCTGAGATATCAGCGCCAAAAAACTTCGAGCACCGTGTTCACACCTCTTTCGATGCCAAGCGGGGCTGCTTCGTGGGCCTGCCGACGCAATGGCAAAGCCTGATAGAAAACCTGCGGAGGCCCAGACCTATGGTGGACCCCTCTCGGATCACAGAGGTGGAGCTGAGGCCAAAAAAGGTATGCCACACCTTCACTTTCAGCAAAGTTTATTTTAATCGACTTTTCACTGTTTTATCCGCACAAATGTTGTTCATTATGGAGTTCTGTTGCTAGCTGCATCACTGCGGGAGAGTATTTTCTGCGCTGCAGAGGTATTCTGCTGTCTCAGACAATCCCATAATACTCTGATGACAACGTGGAATGACTGCTCCCCTTCCCTTCCTTCTCTATCACAAGGCTGCGCTAATGACCCTGCTGCGTACGCTGGCTCCACAATGTTGAGATCCTCATGGGGGAACACAAGATTTATTACCGCATGCAGGCAATTAATAACAGTATAAGGTGCTTTCCCACAAACGTCATCAAATAAAGAAGGGATAAAAAAGTGCAGGTACTGCAAATGGAAATGTCTGTGAGTGATCCAGTCTGCAAATCTCAGGATTTCTGTGCTTCACAAAGTGTTTGGGTTGATAGTTTTCTGGGCCTCCTAAAAAATAAAAAGCACTGCGATGTGGCGGCGATTAGTGCTGTGCAACATGAGAACCACTGTGTCAGCGTTTGGGTCGGACTTGTAGTTTTGTTTTTTGTTTTTTTTTACCTTCCTCACCGATATCAACGCGAGACCCCGTCTAATGAGGAATCCTGTAAACAACACAAACCACAAATTAAAGTAGCTTTGTCTGAGTTCACCACAAAGCAGTACCTAAGGTGAAGGTAAAGAATCCTAGTCTCTTAAATAAGTTTGCACAATGTTTCATAAACTATTCTCTATTGTTCTCTAACACACCGCTGCCAGAACAGCTGAATTTATACTGATATTCAAATACGCACAGTTGGAATTTGTCCACTAATTAGGTAACTCATGAAGTCAGCTGGTTGCAGTTGAACAGCAGAACAGAGGTGGATACTGAACCCCCATGTTTTAATAGTAAATATATATGAAAAATTATAATAGCTCACCAAGGCAATTATCCTATGATAGAGACTCTACAAAAGGTGAGATGAGGACTAACCTCTACTCTACCCCATCTGTGTGAATATAATAGCTTTGAGCCAGAGAAACAGGAGAAGCTGTTGACTGACTGTAGACTGAACATGACTCTGCTATGAAACTGACTATCAAGCCACCATGCACACTGTATGCATGTTTCTGGCAAACCAGCTGATGTTTGCCTGATGATTTTATGTTGAAGCAAGTTTGGGCCCTTTGCAAGCCTACCAACTACCAACCTCTTTACGAAGAATTAGAGCAGTAACCTCTCATTTATCAAAACACAGTGCAATGCACAATGACACTAGTTTGACTTTATTGAATGTATTGAACGTAGTGCATAACTGCTGTGCATAACTGAGGAGTGAGGATGAAAATTATGTATGTTTCCCATATTTTCTTTACAACGCTAATACCCCTGAATAAAATTCAGTGCTATCAGTTTCTTTTAGAAATATCCTAATCAGTAAACATTTCTCAATGTATTTAAATCACAGGATAAATCCAGCTCTTGTGGAAAAGTTTAAAGGTAAGGGAGGTTAAAACAATATCAAAAGATGGGAACACCTCTCTGGTAAATCCATGATTTGAAAATGAAAAGTGCATGGCTCAGGGTGCTGATTTTAAGTGTGCAACCTGATTTTTACTCATACAAAATATTGAAAACTGTGAATAATTTTTCTTGCACTTCATAATTATGCACTACTTTGTACTGGTCTCTTCCCAAAATCCATTTCTGTTTATATGTATTAATAGGACAATATGCGAAAACGTAAAATAGGTGTGAATGCATTTTCTAAATACAGGAGGAGCTGCTGTAAAATCTGTTTCTCTGCTTGCTATATTTGTCAGCAGACTGTCAAGAATAAACCACCAGGGAAAGAAACTAAAGTCACTGTCTTTGAAAAATGACAGAGATGTCCTTTACACATTCCCACGTCTAAATTTAACTTGCCTCAGAGCAATTATTATGCCACTTTTATCATCGCTTTTGCTCTGAAATCTCTCGGTAATGTAATCATGTCGTGCAGATTGTGATGAAGATAACTACCTTTTCTCTTCCAGACCATTGTGCGCGGGAGCATGGTCGGTCACGGAGAATACATCTCTGCCATGATCAACGACATGAGCCGCCTGTCCGTGACCAGCTCCAACTCTTTGCGGAAGAGCAGCCCCTCGGCCAGGAAGAGGGCCCAGTCCCTGGGAAGGCTGGGAGAGGTAAACGAAGGGGATGGTTACCAGTACGAGGGCCTGACCCAGGACGACGAGGACGACATGGATGAGGCTCAGGATCACTGGAGGGACAAGGGCAGGAACATTCACAGTGAAACCAACACCCCCTACCTGGGGATGAAGAAGAGCATCACTCTGCAGCCCAATGGAATCTTGCCAAAAGCCAAGTCGACCTATGAGGTCGGTGTCGGCACAGTGGAGGGGCCCTCACAGCCTCCTCCACCTCAGAACATCCCAGCACCAAGTCATGGACCGTATCTGAGCGGAGAGCTGGGAAGTCCTCAGGAAAGACTGATATGGAAAAGAGATTTCCAGCTTCCCAGAGGAATGCCACCAAATCAGAGACCTGTAGCATGTTTTTACAGCCCTGCTGTGGCTCTCCAGCAGCTCCACGACGATCAAGGGAACATCGGACTGGAGCTCCGACCCAATCTACCCATGTACATGCACGCACAGAACAGCCCAGGGAGGCCATTCTCCTCCTATGACCTAAAAGTAAGCACATCTTTGCAAAGACTATAAATTATTCATGGATCACATAATTTATGCATATTTTTGATGCTGAGTATATATCAGAATATTATGCATGTGGCCCGAATGTATTAAGATGTTTTTCTTGAGTTAAAAAGAGCCATTTTAATGGTTAATTTGTAGAACTTTAACCAGCTAGCTTATTCAGCCCGTATATCAAATAACGGGCTGAATAAGCCCGTTATTTGATATACGGACTATAAACAATATTTTTTTTATAGATATTTTCATTGGCTGCTTTTAAAAAAAACAGCAAAAGAAAAAATTCAAATATCCTGTGTTTTTCTTTTTTTCTAAATGACTCATGAAGTCAAGTATGCATAATTTCTCAACTAAAAAGATAAGCACTCAGGAATCATCACAAATTTTGAAACTCTACCGCTTTTTTCATGTATTTGCATTTGCATACAGAAGATGAAGAGGTTGAGATCTCAGAAATGCCCATGTCAAAAACACCTGTGACTTAGCCCCTTTTACTAAATATGATTATGACTTTGGGTATTTTATTGAGTCCAGTGTTAAGAAATTAAATGTGGACTTAAGTGCTTGTGAGGTTGTAAATACTGCCGTGTTCTCCTTGAGACTCTTAAAGCCATATCGTAGCATCTTAACATGATTAATATCGGTGAAGTGGATGCACAGTGAAAATGGCGGGCCTGATTTACATCCAGGTTTAAAGTGGACAGTGATTCCCCGGCAGGCGGCCAACACCCTTTCAGCTGCCTCTCTTCTCTTGTCATGCAGGCCGAGTCGTCGGTGAGATACCACTCCAGTTTCCTGCCGACCGGCACCAGCAGTCCTCTTGTAGGAGGCATTAGACCTCAGCGTATGGTGCGCTCCTCGGCAAGCTACACACTAGGCTTGTCTCCCAATATGGGGCTGCGGCCTGGTGTACCAGACCCCTTCCTCAGGCACTCAGGATGCCCGAACCCCTCTTACCCCCGGCAGGACAGCCCATCTCAACCTCGACCTTCACCCACGGGCTCATTAGCCACCAGTCCTCCAGGAACCTGCTCCCCTGCTTTCAGACCGCCTCAGCATCCTGCACCTCGACCGCCCCCTGACCCTCCCAAGGTGACGCATGAACAGTTCAAAGCAGCCCTGCAGATGGTGGTGGATAAGGGCGACCCACGGACTTATCTGGAGAACTTTGTGAAGATCGGGGAGGGCTCCACAGGGGTGGTGTGTATTGCTACAGAAAAGCACACTGGAAGACAAGTTGCTGTGAAGATGATGGACCTGCGGCGGCAGCAGAGGAGGGAGCTGCTCTTTAATGAGGTACAGAGATCAAGATAGATCTCACAAGGGGGATCTACATGTACAGGCATTGATACCTTAAACCTTTTCACATTTTGTCATGTTACAAACCAAATTTCAACAATTTCAACAAGTGTTTCTTACATGACAGACCCAAAGTGGTGCATAATTGTAAAGAGAAAGGGGAAGGATGTAATTTCAAAGTATTTTACCAATAAAAGTCTATTATTAAAATAGACCTAGTCTGAAACCAATATGTAAAGTCCAACGTAAGCAATTACCTTAAGAATTAGTATATAGAGCCTATATACTACTTGTACACAGAGCACACCATAAGTGTCAGGGATAAAGTTGTGAAGATATAGGAGGGATTATAGATAATATGCCAAACTTCAAACAGAGCACTGTCCTTAATCTGAAAATGGAAGTATGGCATAAGTGCAAGCCTAGGAGACGAGGCTTGTTTACCTAATCTGAGAGACTAAGCAAGGAAAACATTAACCACAAAAGCAGCCAGCAGGGCCATAGTAACACTGGGGGGTCAACTGAGACCTTGATTGAACTTTTATGCCGACAGACATGCAGGGTGTAATATGTGGAGGAAAACTAAGGCTGCACCATCAGCAGGAACTGGGAAGCTTGTCAAAGTTAACAAACTAATGACAGAGCTAAAGACAGGACAATTCCACAAGAAAATCTACTAGGAGTTTCAAAAGTCTTGAGCTACGACAAGGAACAAGCATGCAGCCAATGGTGTTAATCAAAGCATATATTGATGTTCACTGATCATCTCCATCCAATCTGACTGAGCTCTATTTAGACCAAAGGGTGAAAAGTTAGTAGAAACATACTCAAAAAGACATGACAGTGAAAGGTAGTTCTGGAAAAACGGGAGCTAGACAACATAAAAAAAATTATGATAAAATTTTCTGAGGTTTGTATTGCAACATGACAAACTGGGACAAATTTCAAAGTACTAAGACGCATGGCACTGTATTTTATACTCACAGGAAATCACAATGAGACTCTCCTCATGAATTTCTCTAAAGCACTGTCATTTTTGTAATGCTTAAAAATTATTTTTGATCAATGGTTCTTTTGACTTACCACTGCCCAAAGTTTTTCTCTGAAATACTACCTGTTACTTCACTTATGTTTGGTTAAGTCTGTAGATTTACTCAAATAAGGGAAGTCAGCAAGTGGAGGACAAGAAACAATCATAATATTATATAAAACATTTGTCATTTGAGAGATAGGGAAATCAGATCGGGCAAAGAGCCTGCAGCATTTTTGATGTTGACCACTTTCATTGAACTATTTCATTCATGTACCCCAAACCATTTACTGGACTAACTCAGAATTGCTGGGCACCAAGGTCTTTATGCCACAAAAATAAAAGCGAACATAATGGTTTATAGCTTTATGACATATATTTTCGCTGCAGGTGGTGATCATGAGGGACTATCAGCACAAGAACGTGGTGGAGATGTTCAAGTCTGCCCTCGTGGAGGAGGAGCTGTGGGTCATCATGGAGTACCTGCAAGGAGGAGCCCTGACCAACATCGTGTCTGAAACCAGGTACAAAAAAAAAATAAAATAAAATAAAGCAGCAAAACTTTGGGTTCCGCTTTACAACTCATAGTCAGTGACATGAACAGCCACAAGGGGGCGGTGTAGTATTAACTGGAGAGTAATCGGTGTTCATCCAAACAGCATGTCTATTGCCTTTCAGTGTGCTCTCCGCTCCCTCTGGAGAAAAAAAAAAGATAGTAAAGCATTTTTAATTTTTAAATACCATCTTCAGTCTGTTCTAGGTAGACATTTGAGACATCTGTTACTCCTTTTATATTATAACACCCACACACCAGGAAATTAAATTGTGAAAGTTAATGTGTTTTGAGCAGTAGTCTTTCTTTTTTTCATTTCAGGTGATGAACCCTGGATTAGTTCAGTTTAATAAGGACATGCGTTTTTTTTCTTCCCTCAGGTCACATGACATAAAATCTGACACCAGGTCGAGTAGGTGTATTGGCAGAGCAATTAAAAAGAAGAGTGTGTTTTTTCTTCAATTGCTACACATTAGAAGAATGAAGTATAATACTTTGTTGTCGTTGGATAAGAAGCTGGTATCTTCTGGGTTCCTGACTTTCTCATATATTGCTATATGAAGAGGCTTTGCAAACGTATTCACACTCTTAACAATTTCACTCCAATCACAAACCCAAACAGGGATGTATTTTATATTTTATTGGGAGATTGTGGTGTATGATTGTGTTGTGAAAACAGAATTTTACAAAAAAGAATCAGAAAAGTGTGATGTGGATTTGTAATTAAAGCTTTAGCTCTCTTAGAGTATGTCTATGTACAATACCTCGGGTTCAATTAGATTTGATGGAGAGTATATTTCAGTGTCAGTTTTTTGTCTTGCCACAGATTTTGATTTGATTTTAGGCCTTGACTTAAGCTTTTGATATATCCTCTTCTGTATACTTGAAGCCTTGTTCTACTTGAAGTTGAACTAGCTTCCCATCGACTTTCACTATCCTCCCTGTCCATTCAGAAGACAAGAGCCTCTCAGGATAATGCTGCCACCACCAAGTTTCTCTGGTGTATCAAGGGTGATGTCCACTAGTGTTTCACCTCCTATAGCTGGTCCTTTATGGCTGATAATCGTTCACTTTTCTCTTCATGTCAGTTCATGCTCAAGAAACTCTTCTAATTTTCAGACAGTTGTGCAGAATTCAGAAAATTTTAAAGCTTGGGAAACTGTTTCATAATCTAACCCTGCTTTAATCTCCCCCATAACTTTATCCCTGACAAGTCTGATGTATATCTTAGTCTTCATGATCCTGTTTGTTCCCTAGTGCTCTCTAACAAACTACTGAGGCCTTCACAGAACAGCTGCTTTAGAATTGGCTGTGCCCCATTTATTCAGGGCTATCATAGTAAAGAGGACTAAAATCAAATTATAAATACTTTAGGGCCTTTTGTTTCCATAAAAAAAATATTAAAAAACATATTTTATTCCTGTTTGACTTTATGTGATACACATGTTGGTCCATCACCCAAAATTCCAGCCAAATACATACATTTTTGGATCAAATGTGCAAAACGTCCAGGTGCACAAATACCATTGCAGACTCTGGAAATGTTTATGTTGCCCTTGTGAAATATCCAAGCCAGACTATATCCAATGAGGAAGAAGCATGTTCATTCGTCATTCTGCTTGTGTGGGAGTTGTTTTTCTGAACCTTGCACCTTTTATCGTTGCTTTTAACGCACACTGATTCATAAATTTTCAGCTCTCTCGGGCTGTTGTAGCTGGTAATGGGAACGCGTGAAATGCCCATGTAAAGTCAGTCTGGATGTGTGTAAAACTTGTCGTCCTGCAGACTGAGTGAGGAGCAGATTGCCACAGTGTGTGAAGCTGTTCTCCAAGCCCTGGCTTATCTCCATTCACAGGGCGTCATTCACAGAGACATCAAGAGTGACTCGATCCTACTCACATTAGATGGACGGGTATGGCACATACTCATCCCCACCTCCCGCCTGTCCCCTTCCTTTTGATTTCTCGGTTTTGTAAATGTGTAATTTTGTTGGGCTCTCCCCAGGTGAAGCTGTCAGACTTCGGTTTCTGTGCCCAGATCAGTAAGGACATCCCTAAGAGGAAGTCTCTAGTAGGGACGCCTTATTGGATGGCTCCTGAGGTCATATCCAAATCACCATATGGCACAGAGGTGAGGAGAAAACCACTGACGATGAACCTGTGCTGTCAGAGCTTTTACACTATTTGCTTTTGCATCCACCAGGTTGATGTGTGGTCGATGGGTATCATGGTAGTGGAGATGGTCGACGGAGAGCCCCCATACTTCAGTGAAACGCCCGTAGCAGCAATGAAGAGGCTTAGAGACGAGCCGGCTCCAACCGTTCGAAATGTCAGCCAGGTATTTGAAGAGACTTACATGGAGGTTGTTGTTTACTTAAAGATTAATACTTCAGATACACAGGTACAGTTGATACATTTAAAACCAGTCCTACTTTCTTCATGCTTTACGTCTTTTCTTTTAAATGAATCTTGATCAGATTTTTTCCAGGCTTTCTGAATTTTAGCACATTTTTCATTCAGTCTCCAGTTTGGTAGACATCAGAGATGATTCAAAATATACTGCTCAAAAAAATAAAGGGAACATTTCACTTTAATTTTGTGTGTGGCTCCAAATCCAGGCCTCCATTGGTTAATACATTTGATTTCCATTGATGATTTTTGTGTGATTTTGTTGTCGGCACATTCAACTTTGTACAGAACAAAGTATTCAATGAGAATATTTCATTCATTCAGATCTAGGATGTGTTATTTGAGTGTTCCCTTTATTTTTTTGAGCAGTGTATTTGCAAATGACAATAAACCTTCTTTAATCTTTTCATTTAAGAAAAATATTCTCTGGTCAGTTTCATTGGCCCAAATGCAAAGCACAATATTTGGTGGACAATGATCTGCACATATTCTTTAATGCGCCATGGTGGTGGCAGCATTGTGCTGCAGGATGCTTTTCCTCAGCAAGGACAGGGAACAGATAGTTCAGAGTTGATCGATGTTGGAAGAAAACCTGCTAGATCTTGCAGCAAACCTGAGACCTGGATCAAGGTTCCCCATTTAGCAGGACAATAATCTATAACATGCAGCTGGAGATAAAATGCCGGTCTCCCAGGGCTAATGTGCCGCATATTTTACATGTCATATCTCCAACAACAGCATGCCATCACATTCTGGTAGAGTCATTATCATTCTTTATCTTTCTATCCAATCCAGATCTCTCCAGTTCTCAAAGACTTCTTGGATCGCATGCTGACCCGTGACCCTCTGGAGCGGGCTAGCGCCACCGACTTGCTGGAGCACCCCTTCCTGCTGCAGAGCGGTTCACCTCAGTGCCTGGTCCCGTTGGTGGAACAGTATCGGAAACGCATGTCTCGCTGCTGACCCATTTCAGCTCCAAGTCCCCAAATGGGCCAACTTCAGCCTGCCCTGTACTGTACGACTCCAGAAGAGGACTAGCGCCGGGACCCAGCTCTCCTTACGGGGCCGACGTTCCCCCCCAGAAGCAGACCCAGGCAGCATTCTGCTGCCGCCGTCATGGTGGCCACATAGTTTGTCAAACGCGGCATGGTCTCGGGCATGTGAGAAGCACTTTAGGAGCGAGCTAAAGGCAGCATGCAAGTCCTCACCTCTCAACTCAATTGGCTTCCTGCAACTTTCGGTGTGGATTAACACGCTATGCAGCCTGATGCACTGACAGCCGAAATCTGTCCTTCACACATATTCCAAATAAGTGGTACTCTAAAATCCCTTCGTGGTGTTTTTAGTGGGCATTAATGCAAGCTGTGCAAACTCATTAGGCTCAAACCTCAGTAGCTCATTGTGACAGGATAAAGGCACCTCTGCACATCCATTCTGTTGAGGAAATTGGACAACGATACACTCTTTGCATGGCCAAATGGAGGCACACCTGGCCTAATGTGAATGCTTGAATATGTACTGGGGATAAGAAAGACAATTCTCCTATATTAGCATAATAAATGGGTAAACAAAAACCCAGCTGCTACTATTGGACTACTGGGAGGGAAAAACCCCAGCACCACTCTCCTCTTTTACTCCACTTTTACATATTTATTTATTTCTAAAAAAAAAAAACAAAAAAAAAAACAAAGAAAAAGAAAAAAAGATGTTTGTTGTTTGTATGATGTGAAATTGCAAATATGGTTACATAATTAATAAATATGGACTCAAAACATACTCAGACACATTAACAATGTAAATAGAAATCCTGAATATTAGGGTCTTTAACACTGATAAGTTTGAATCTTACCTTTATTTCATAAAACGTGAGTGTAGTGTATGTATGCGTGAAGGAGCAGGTGTGTGTTACGCAACGTCATTGTTGACACAACCCTCTTTGTACTGTGACAGATGTGACGAAAAAAGAAAAACCACAAGATGTGTGCAGTGATCCTGAATATGATGTGTGTGCGCGTGGGCGTGCGTGTGTGTGTGCGTGTGCACACGTGTGTGTGAATATGAGGGACTGTTTTTGCATTTGTTTGCCTAGACAAAGCACACAGGCCTGGCATGTAGTGCTGCAGGACACCCTCCTGCCCAGAAAACACTTTGCACATAGTCTTTGTAATCCCACACGGATACACTAGTTTCATGTATTTCTATTCCTGTGTGGCAAAGAGAGCAATGCATTTTAATTTTGTATAAATCAATAAATGACGCGTACTGAACCATAAAGGCAACTCGGTTTACTCTTTTGTGTACGAGAAGAAAAATACAAGTGAATGGGACAAAAGTACAAGAGTTTACAGTTTTATTGGGCATTCAACATGTTTTCACAGTCACAAAATCTTCTAAAGCAAAATACATTTTTTTTGAAAACACAAAAGCAATTTTTAATGCATTTAGGTCCATGTAATATGAATCCAAAAAGAAGAAAAAATCACAGCATAAAATCTATATAATGTAGCATAAAATGTGTTGGAAATGAGTAATCAGCATTAAACTTTTTTATATTCCAATAGAAATCTTGCAAAAACAACTGGCAACAAAACAGTATATATTTTTCTTAAGAAGAAACATAAGCTATCAAAGAATTGAGACTATCAGGTTTAAAGTGCAATAAAAAACACACACAAAGAACAGCACAACCAGGCTTTTCTGTTTGTTGGAAATTGTCCTTTATCTAATCGAGGGTAGACTGAGACGAGTAGCTTTCAAACTCACACTTCACAGCGCTGATGCTGTCAACGCTCGGCTGGCTGTTGACCTGCTGGTGTGTGTGTGACAGAGGGTAGGTTTCAGAGCGGGACATCCGACCTCTTCTGTTCGAGGAGCCGGACGAACAGTCGATCACCATCCTCATAAACTCTGGAGCGGTGAAGCGACGCAGCAGTCTGGTCCCCAGGCCCACGAACCCTGGGGCGCGGCCCGGGATCCTCTCCGTCTCCATCTCCTCTCTTGGGAAAAGGAGTTTGTTGTGTCTGGAAACTGAGCCGAGGCTTCCCCTCTTCTGTTGCCCTCTTCGGCTGAACGGGGCCATGTCGCTAGCTTCCTCGGTTTGTGGCTTGACTTTCTCCTGGAGTGCTTTCCCAGACTGAGTCTTGCTTTTTAAAAGAGGTTTTGGAAATGAAGCGATTTGGCTGCCGTCATTTGTCAGGGCCCCGGGTTTCCCTTGACAGTCGATCTTGTCTATTAGGCATCGGTCATCCTGTAGTGAGGCTCTCTTTAATTTGCTGGCTGACAGCCTCATGTCACGCACATCACCCTGGTAGGACTGCTTTCTGCTGCTCAGAAGGTCCAAGTTAAATGACTTTGCCTTTCCCCAGAGCGGAAAACTCTCCTGTTTTTGCTCTGGAAACCGAATGTCTCGGCTGACGTCTTTCTGGCTCGGCTCACCAGCAGAGTTCATTTTTGACCCCTTCAGCTCTCTAAGCTGGCAGTTTTGCAGCTGTTTGGCTGTGAAGAGAATGCTGTGATCCTCCTCAGCGTGGCTTTTCTCTATCTGAGGAGGCAGAGCCCAGCTGTTTTGATGATTGTCCTCTTGAGACTGACTGCTGGGACACCTGAAACGGTTCCATGGTCCGCCGCTTTCTCCTATTTTTGTCTGTCTCTGAAACACATCTGGCAGTTGCTCTTCATCTGATGATTGCTTGGAAAACTTCTCAAGAACATGCCTGGGGAGCCTGTTGGGCAGCCGACGTTCTACTTCAACAGCCGTCACCACATCAACAAGTGGATCGTCTTTGCAAGCGCTCTTTCTGCAAGGAAAATTTAAAATCTGGACGCACTGGTTGTGCCCAAAAAAGTTGGCAATCTCTTTAGCCGAGTGACCAGCACTGTTGGTTCGGTCTAGTCTCAGACCTAGTCTTTTGAAAGCTCTCACCAGGAACTCCAGGACCTGGCTGTGCCCAGAAAAGGCAGCGTACATGAGGGCACTGTTTCCCCAGGTGTCAGAGATGTCCGGGTCGGCATTGAACTGCACCAGAAGTTTGACGACGTCCAAGTGACCCATCTCGCAGGCGTGGCTCAGAGCTGTGCGGCCGTCCTCATCCTGACAGTTGACGTTTGCCCCTTTCTCCAGCAGCAGCCGCGTGAACTTGGTTCTGGTCCCGGGGTCTTGCAGACACACAGCGTACATGAGTGGCGTACGACTGTTCTCAGTCTTAGAGTTGATTATGCGCCCATCCAAGGCGTCCAGGATGAAACGTGCGAGGTGGACTTTACCGCCGTGCATTGCATCCAGGAAGGTTTTGGTGCCAGAGCCCTGGCGTAGATCTTTTGGCCTCATCATCTTTCACGCACTTGTGGAGACGAGTCGACAAACGAAAAAGAGGAAGGTGTGGCGACTTGTCCAACGCCTCTCTGTGATGGCAGCGTGCATTCACCACAGAGTAAGAGTCAGAGTGGAGCTGCCAGTGTTTTTATACCTCCCTCTCCACATGCCCTCCCAACGTTTCCTTGGCAACAAACGTCTGAGGACCATTATGCAGTGGCAGCATCCATTCAGCCCGAGCACTCTCTGCCTGGAGAGAAATATATGCTATTTGAACAGAATAATTACTCAAGGAGAAAAACATGCCCAGTGTTTTTCATGTCAAGTTTGTAAAATAAAAGTATATCTTTTGTTATTTTTGTTTGAAGCAAATGACCTTCCAAGAACCTGATATTTGTGTTCATAAAAAAAAACTAAATTTCAAAGATTAAAAGTGATAAGAAATAAGAAACAGCCTTGTGTTTGTGTCTGTAGTTCACTTCAGCTGCATATCAAATTATGCTCTTCTCTTGCGCTCTGAGTTTTTCAAGGTTCCATAATGGCAACATTGCCTGAAGGATGTTTTTCTTTCCATTCATTTTGTCGTGGTACAGAGATGCAGCAATGAAGCAACAATAAAAAAAGGCAATGAAAACTTTTCAGGCAAGCAAGAATTGAAAATGGGGATCAAAAGACTCTTTCTCTTCAATGTCCCTTTTGTATGAGGATTTTTGATATCTGCTAAAACATTGGCAGCATTTGTCAAATATTTTAGTTTTGCATTTATCTTGAAACAATCGTCTTATTGCCTCTTTAATCTTTGATGTCTCTGTGTAGAGTCAGTCACAACTACTAGCAGCAATGGTTATAATGTGCAAAACGTCTTCACAGCAAACTGCACTACAGGAGCTATTGGATTACAAATGGCTGTCTGGTTGAAATGAC